CTAAGCCAGTATAATCCTCCACTACATCCTAAATATGTGTCCTTATACCCAGAGATAAGTCTAGTCCTCACCCCACATCAAGGAAACTTGTCTTTGCAAAAAATTGGAGAATATTAGAAGAAACCATAATCAATCAAAAAGTAGAATTGTGGAATCTAGTCTGAACTGATACATCTTCAAAACAGCTCTTATACCTAAGGCTATTTATTTTCTTAGTACTGAAAATACTTTTATGATACATTCTGATCCTGGTTTCCTCTCCCCTATTTCCAGATCATTCCTACCTCCTCAACCATACAAATCTTTTGTGGTTTGGGGGAGTTTTCTTTTTGTGTCTGTGATTCTTATGCTTTTTCTTTGTTATTGTTTGCTTTTCATTCTGGCTTGTTTGTTTTCATTTGCGTTTTTGTTTTCTGAGTTTATTCCTTAACCCTAACCTAAGTGCATGTTTCTAGTAGCTCCAGCAGGGTCTTGGGAGTTCTGTCCATGGTGCTGAATCGGTCTCTTTCTCTGATACCCAACCTTCCACTACGTGAAAAAGGAAGACTGGTATTTCTCCAAACTAACAACTTTAAAAATATGAATATAAGGCTGGATGGTGTTGATACACGCCTTTAATCCCAGAACTCGGGAGGCAGTGGCAGGCTGAACTCTGAATTCGAGATCAGCCTGGTCTACAGAGTGACTTCCAGGACAGCCAGGGTTACACAGAGAAATCCTGTTCAAAACACAAAGCAAAATAAACAGACNAAAAAAAAAAAAAAAAAAAAAAAAAAAAAAAAAAAAAAAAAAAAAAAAAAAAAAAAAAAAAAAAAAGGATATAAATTGAGAAATTTATGTCTTATACACTTATGTAATTATTATAGGAGAAAATGTGAAAACATTATTAGTTTGTGTATTTGAGGAATTTGGGAGGGAAATAGCAAGTGTTCTACCTTGGTTTTTCATCTTTTAATTCTTACAATTCCTTCCTTTACAAAACTGTAGTATGGCAATAATATTGTTGATCACTAACTTCTGTTCATTTACCAGAAACTTTTTAGTTTATATTTTGAGAGGAGAATACTTTGAGTTTTCTTCATGCAATTTCAAGCAAGGCAAAGTCGTGCACGTTCTAATAATGAACCATAATTTGCATTCCCTTTTACATACCCACAGGACACTAATGACCAGTTTTCAGATTAATTCACTGAGACATATAGTTCTGAAGATAAGAAGCCATAAAAGTTAATAGTTGTTGAACATATATTGAAAATAATGCCACAAGCAGGTCACATCACTACAACAAAACATCAGTGAGGGACTAAGCCATTTTTGTATTTTTTACTGATTTATTATATCTATTCCCTAGTTCAGTTCCTAACATATAGTAAGTGTTCATTTCCTATTAGCTGCATAAATTAGAATCTGAATGATAGGAGAAATACAAAAAGAACAATAATTGGTGGCGCTGATTAGATGATACCAACTCATGTTGCCTTTAGAAAGGAAATGCATTCACCAATTACCAAATTAGAGAATTGATTATTCTGTTTTCTCCAATGTATTAAAATATTAAGAGCAAAAATAAGTGTGTTTTTAATTTGTGTGTATTAAATGCTACATACTTGGTGTGTTTCCTCTATAGTATGTCTTTAATATTTATACAGCTATTATCTTTTTCTTCAAATGTGGGAAGTTAGTCAACTTGCTTAAATAATCCAGCAAATAAATAAGAATTAAAAGTTTTTAATGACTAAGTTTTGGCTTTTAAACAACTATTATCCCCAAATTTCAGCCAACTTTAGCACTTAAGTGCCGTATCATTTTTCATATCACCATCTAAGTTAAAGCTCTTCAAAACTCTACCCCCACCCCGACCAGTTTACAACAAATTTCTCACGCATAAATACTTTTCCTTTTCAAGGTAGCTGGGGCTACCTGGGAAATAGAGAAAAAGAATGACATCATGGAAAAATGAATAACAGCCAGTGCTCTCAGTCAGCAATGTTTCCTGACACTCCAGTAGAGGAATCATTTCCAGCACTGTGTCCTCCCCCACGGTAAATGGTGTCTAGTTACAAACTGAGGAATTGCCCTGCAAAGGGAAATATCTTCTACTTTTCAACAACGCCTATATCACACATTTGAACATATTGACCAATTCTGACTTACACATTAAAATGATTACAGAAACATCACTAATAAAGCTGCCAATTGTTTTTTGGTTTTTTTGTTTGTTTGTTTTTGTTTGTTTGTTTGGTTTGGTTTTTCGAGACAGGGTTTCTTTGTGGTTTTGGAGCCTGTCCTGGAACTAGCTCTTGTAGACCAGGCTGGTCTCCAACTCACAGAGATCTGCCTGCCTCTGCCTCCCGAGTGCTGGTATTAAAGGCGTGAGCCACCACCTTCCGGCTCCTGCCAATTGTTTTTATATTTCCCCAGCATGACTGCTATTTTATGTTGTCCTTTTGAAAGCAGATCTTGCAAATCCAGCACCTCTTTTGCATTGCTAATCATCACTAGCATGCATCCAGAAAATTCACCAATCACCTTAAATCAACTCAAAAATAACAATATTCCCATAAAGAGTGCTGGGAGAAAGAAATCTGTAGAGAAGTTTTAATAAGTATGCAATATTCTTACCATTCATAAATTAGCAACTCTGGCATCCAGTGAAGGGAATCAAAATTGAAACACTAACTAAAGTAAATACTGATAAAAACATTCCATATACTAGTAGTCCCTCTTTATTCCATTGTGAAAGGCAAAAGATGATCCAGGTTTATTTTGTGAAATAATGATAGAGCTATGTATTAGATGAAGTGGCTGATAGGTTATTCATGCACTTATGTGATTGTGTATGTGATTAAATATCCAGACTTATACATGTATGATGATAGCTCCATCACCTCCTCTGAAAGGCTTTTCCTGGACATTGTCCAATTATTTCATGTAAATAGAGGAAAATGAACATTAGTCATATGGACACAGAGAAAGGGGATTTAAGGAAAGAGCTTCAAACTCCTCCTAAAAACTTGAAATCAAATATTAACAACTCGCTTTGGATTTCATGTTAGCACATAAATAATTATAGGGCTAGCTGGGTTTTTTTTTCCTTTTTCATGATGGTAACTTTTTCACAGCATTTTTGATACCATTATGTTGTGCTTTTATCTGTATTTCACTACCCTTCAAAACTGGCTTGATGATTGCTTTTACACACGTGAGTGACAAGTTTTGCACAATGGGAAAAAGAAAATGGTGGGAAAATTCAAAGATCTGTCTTGGCTTTCTTCATGCACATTGAAAATAAACAGAAATGCAACATTTGTCATGTATGTCTCCTCTCAATGAGAACAATCACAAGGTGATAAAAGTTTTCTAGCTATCTGGATTTATATTTATTGTGTGTCTAGTTTTGCTATAATACAAGGAAAAACTCTTCTCCTAGGCCTTACTTGCTCAGTCAGAGTCCTTCAGCTGGAAACTTTGTCAGAAGATATCAGTGTTTTCTGAGCATGCAGAAATGCAAATGGAAATTTATCATTAGCATTCTACCTAGGACAAGGAAGTACCAGAAGGCACCCTACATCGGACAGGTGTCTCTCCTTTCCAATTAGTGGGTTGACATAGCCCCTTGACTTGATTTCTTTTAAATAAGTCTCCATCCCTTGCCCCAGAATTAAAACTTTGTTTTTTGATACAGGATTTCACTCTGTACTCCCAATTGGTCTAGAACTTCACTAAGCAGTCCAGGCCGGACTTGAACTCCCAGAGATCCCCTTGCCCCTCCCTCCCTCCCGAGTACTGAAATTAAAGGCGTCCACCACCACACCTGACAGGTAAAGAAATTATTTTGATAACTTCTCCTTTTTAATAGATGAGTTTGCTTATGATCATGAGCGAGGAATATTTGTTTTGATAAGGGCTATTTTCTTATCAAAGATTTGTCATCAGACGGGTGGTGGTGTGTGCCTTTAATCCCAGCACTCAGGAGGTAGGGGAAGGTGGATCTCTGTGAGTTCGAGACTACCCTGGTCTACAGGAGTTGGTTCGAGGGCAGGCTTCAAAACTACATCATAAAAGATGTATATTTGTGTTTTGATCACAGTTATATTACAATTACTATTCTTTTCTTTGTCTTCCTTAAGCATTGGTCTGTACCTTTGAACTGAAAACATGGTGGTGATGATGAATGCCCATCAGTTACTAAGGGTTAAAGTACCTTATTGCATCGCATACAGGGACCTCCCAGTTCAAAGGCATAGCTAGGATTAAAGGCCAACCAACATTACTTGCATAAACACAATTCTAATAAAACAACAGAGATATGGTTAAGCTAACAAATAAATGTCCAATTAGAAACTCTGAAGTTAATTAAAGTATTCTTCCATGTTCTAAATGATATTGGCAGGCTGCCTGGCATTTTCCTTGAACAAACAGAAGAAAGCTACAGAGAAGAAAGGATCAACCAAAAATAGCTTATCTTGAGATAAGTAGGCTTATATTTCTCAACTTACACTACAGGCATTAAAACATACAGCATCTGTGTAAAACTGACATGATATTAAATCAGAAGAAACAATGTCCTGTTGAAATTCAATGCTTTGATATACTTTGCATGACACTATATATAAATGTAATTCATTCAATCAGATTTTATGGTTATCTATGTCAGAGTCAATAAATATTTTCAATTTCAGAGATCGGTTGCGTTGTAGAACTAAATACACCAGAGAAGCAAGCCTGAATTCCCACTGTCTAGTAACATTTTTTTCTGTTTTCAGTGTCTCTCCTTTTATAGGCAAGTAAGTGTCTGACATGTGGATAACTTTTAGTCCATTTGAACTTAATACTTAATATAAGCAAATTAAACACACATATTTACTAGTATTTATAAAGTACCATAATAAAAGTTGAGAAATTTTTCAAATTATAAGTTCCTGAGGTTGAGTTACTGGCACAGATTTTTTCCACTATTGATCTTCTCTTGGATTATAGGTTTGGAAAGGAATATTTACCATTCAGCGTTGCCTCTCCTCAGTCTGAATCATTTTCATCTTGTAGTCTTCTAAAACATTCATCTTTGGCAGAAATAGCCTGAAAGAGAAGGATATTAGTTTGCTATTTTTAAATTTTACCATGAAAATTAGGGGCTTTGCTTTTTCTTATCTTGGGAAATTACAGGGTGATGCTCATCTCAAAACCAGAGCTTGTCTTCTGTTCTTCTAGTGTGCTTATGTACAGACAAAATCAGTCCAATTACATTGTATTCTGGGGTTATACTTTAGAGAAAGCATGTTAGGACAGAGAAAATATTGATAGTATAAAAATCTTTAAATTGCCCATTAAGTTCACCACAGTCAGTTTTCTTATGAAATTAGAAAAGATTGTTTTTTCTTTAAATACAAGATAATATTGGTGGCTTTTAACTAGAGCCCTAATATTCAAACTGGCTCTGTAAAAGCTTGAAATACGGGGTTTGGTGAGGTGGGAGAACCAAGGACATAACTCATGACCAGCACAAGCTGGAAAGTGTCTCTGCTATTAAACATCTATGTCTGTTTCCATCTCCACTGTCTCTTCATCCCTCTCCCCATCTTCTTACAACTTGAACAGCTGTTTAATGTCTCTTCCTCCTCCTCCTCCTCCTCCTCCTCCTCTTTTCCTTCCTTCTGATCCTCTCTCTCTCTCTCTCTCTCTCTCTCTCTCTCTCTGTCTCTCTCTATCTCTCTCTCTCTCTCTCTCTCTCTCTCTCTCTCTCTCTCTCTCTCTCTCTCTCTCTCTCTCTTTGAAAAAATTCTGCTGCTTTGCCAAAAATCCCATTAGCCTCCTTAAATTCAAAAGCCTGTGGAATCAGGCCAGCTCTCACTCAGAGTCTCTTGGGAATCAGGAAAACTTCCAGAATGAATTTAAACTTTGTCATTAAAGATGTATAGGATGAACTTTATTTTTGCTGGAGTCACCATTTTCTGCAAGCAGTTCCAACACTTGGAGCTTCTTTTTCCTCATCAGATGTAGGCTGCAATACTCACCTCAAGCAATCTTGCAGTGTTAGATGGGTGAAGACTTGTTTAGCCTAGCATAATTTTCATCAACAAATGACAGTGTCACTATCAGTATTTAGAACAATGATTATTAATGGCTTTCGTCAAAGCAAACAAGCAGGGTTGAGGAAGCTTGTTTACTTTGTATACATTGTACACCCTTGAAATATATCTAAAAAAGTTAAAGCAACATGCTACATATTCTCAGCTTCTGCGCTATGAAATAATTGATTTTATATTGAAGCTGACACCTTCATAGGTATACCAAACTCTATCCAGTCTAGCCTCCACTATATTGTCATTTCCTTGTCCTTTACTGCATTTATCAACTTATTCTGTCATCCAAAAAATTACAAGCAGAATGAATAGATATACTTCTTTTCTGTATTAACACTATTGTTTTATTAGCTATCTCAATTTTTTATGTGACAGGAAATAGATGTGCTAAAATGTTTGATTTGGGCTTATTTTAAGGGAAGAAAGAAAGAAATGCAAGTTTCCCTTTGAGATTTTGTTCCATATTTTATGGGGGTAGAGAGGTTTGTGCTATTATTTAAGACATGGATTATCAAAATGTCTTACAGTGCTTCCAAGTTAATAGTAGCGACATAATCATTGTATTTATTTAGGGAGTGCTGATCATTGTAAATCACTTCCAGTAAACACCCTTGAAATAACACCCGAGAAAATTTTAAGTAGCTACATCTTCTCAATCTCTGTTGTATGTGATAATTGATTTGATGTGAAAGTTGAAATTCTCGTATGTAAACCAATTCCCGATAAAATTTAATTTATCATTAAATTAGAAGACAAGGTAAAAGGGAGCACTGAGATTGAGAAGGTGGGACAGAAGAAAAAGAACGCTCTGTGGATCCAGTGCATTTTCCAAAGTCTCTGAGCTCTTAGAAGTACGCTCTATGTATAACCGAATTAGTTAACTTGACCCTGATATTGAAGTAAATGCTTTATTTTAAATGTCTAATTTTTAGGCTCTGAATAAAGCTTCTCTTCAGTTGAGGAGAATTTTGTTTCCTGGGGGACATTGGATGATTTGGAGGCATCTTTGACTTGTCGGTATTTGAGTTGTGAGAAGGTGGTTGATAATGAGTAGAATTTGGAACGGCTCCTAATCGTCCTCCAGAGTGGAGAACTGCCTCACAACAGGTTTTATCCAGCTCAGTGGGTCTATCGAGCTGAGATTCAGAACCCAGGAGTGAAGCATGGACTTTCAAAGAACGTGTTGAGCTGCTGGATTTCCCACTCCCAAAGCCTGCTCCGTCCCTGTGGGCGCCCCGCTCTCCACTCAGGGGCAAGGCGGTGGCATCGGTATTCATCTTTTATCTTAAAACAGTTGCTCGCGCCTCCTGTTTACAGAGTGTGCCATGGTGACTTGGTTTTTAGTGGGAATTTAATGTGCTTTGGGAACTTAGCGAGAAATATGCGGACTCTCGGTAAAAAGAATTTGAAGAAAAGTTGAACAGCAGGCACTTTCTCCCTCCAACTCCAAATGCCTTTAGTGGATCCAAAATTGGAAGTGTGAATAAAACTACTGTGTATTTTAAAAAGATGTATTTGGGAAGCATTGGCACAGCGCCTTCAGCACATGAAATCTTCAGTGCTACTGATCACTTATTTAGAAACGGGATGAAGTGTGAAGAAACTGCACCAGCAGGAGGAATCAGTTAAAATTTTTAAAAAGTAAAAAATAGTCTCATAGAGTATGTGCATGGTGACAAGTCAGCTGACACGGGGAACACTCTGACTCACGGTTGCAAAGCCGCAACTTTTCTTACCGCCTTTCATAAGTCAACAGGTGTTGGAGCAATGAGACGCCCCCCCCCCCCCATCCTGAATTTCTTGTAATCCCCTGTTCTGAGTGCCTACAGCTGCTCTGAGCACGAGACCTTCAGGAGTTCCTGCTGGCAGGAGAGTGGTTTCTGGTGGGTTTGGCTGGGGCGTGGCTATCTGTATATAATCTGCCCCTGAACACAATAAAGGGGGCATTCTTGGAAAATTCAAGGATTCGCTGTCTCTCTGTCTGTGTGTGTTTGTGTATTTTAACCTCCAGCCCCTCGCCGGAAGCTCAGTAACTGGGTGCCAGAGGCCAGAGCACAGAATGCAGACACGGGGGCGCGGGGCGCGGCAAACAGGGAATTTTCCATTCATTTGTTTGCATTAATTAGATGATTTGGAGAGGGGGATTGAACTTGTCACCTTGAAACTAATTTGTCTCTTTTAAATCCACTCAAAATAAGAAGCATAAATTCCTCCAAACCCACAAAACAAAGACCTCTACCCATTTAAAACCTTTGGTGAAGCTGATGGTGATGATGCACCCCTTTAATCCCAACACTCGAGGCAGAGCCAGGCAGATCTCTGAGTTCAAGGCCAGCGTGATCTAGAAAGTTCCAGGACAGCCAAGGCTGTAACACAGAAAACCCTGTCTCGAAAATCCAAAAAACCAAAAAACAAAAAGATAAATAAAATAAAACTTTTGGTCATGGTAAAGTCGATTAGAAAACTCTACAAATTGATCCTCCTTCCTCCAACTGATCACTGCTAACACATGGAGAGGGATTTCCAGCATGCTAACAAGCCACATGCTCACTGAAAGCTTGACATGTTCTGAATCCCGTTTTGAAGTATTGGCTCCCCAAAATTTCTCGTTGATGTTTATATTGATTATGCACTGAAATGAAATTTTTGAGTTAAATTAAAATACATACTACAATTAATTTTTTTACGTTGGAGTATCTCTTTCTACATATGATACAAGACTGAATGCCAAACGATACAGTTGGGAAGCGGTGTAAGGTGCCATTTGTCAGCAAACATCCCTTTTCTTTGGATTAGAGCCATTATACAAATCAGTAATTTACTTAAATTTTCAATCTTTTTTCTTAATTATTGATAGAAATGTGATTTATGGAGGCCAGAAAACACCATCGTTAGCACTGTGCATAATGAGTAATTAATTGCCTATCAAATTAAGTTAGGGAACCGTATTACAGTCTTTTTAGTTTCATTAATGATACTATTGACGCTGTTTGGGCTATGTGTTAACCATTTGGTTCTTGCTACTATCTAATACTTTTTTGCTACTGTGTGTGTGTAAACGTCTCTGCACATGTGTGGGCATGCATGTGTAGTCCAGAAGAGGACCTCAGGTGCCATCTTCAGAAATGATGCCTGCCATCCCTAATACAGCATTTCTCATTGTCCCAGAGCTCACCAATTAGCCTAGCCTAATTGGTCAATGGGATGAGGGAAATATATTCTCATTTGAGACATAAAAAATAAACATCGACTTGCAAATAGCCGGTGTACATATTAAGATATTAGATACCAGCTATGGATCTCAGTTGCATTACTTGAGATAAGATATTACACTAACTACACAGTTCAGAAATGTTACATACTTATGGTTCTGGTATAAATAATTAAACAGATTTTACCCTAATTTAGCACCTCTTTCCATAGAGCTAATAGCTACATTATTAAAGCTACAGAGGCAACATTCTTTTTTTCAGAAAGTCTAAAGAAAGTCTACTGTAGTTCATTTGATAGGATGCTTTCCTGCAAGTAGTAAACTCTGGATTCAATCACCCATACTGCATAAACCAGGTACGGTTACGCTCACCCATGACCAGAAGTTGGTAAAGGAAGGCAGGAGAATCAAAAGTTCAAGGCCATTCTCAACTATATATCAAGTTCACAGCCAGCCTGGCCTACTTAAGACACTCTCTGAAACATATAACTAACGTAACTGTCTCCCCAGCCAAAAAGCCTTCCTACTTCCTAAAGTGCAAACAAAAATGTCGGTTCCGGTTTATTATAAACTTAGAATCAATGTGGAAAAAATTACTACACATTTTTTAACTAAAATAAGCCAATTCAAGAGCCCAAATGTGTCTCATATTTAGCTATATATTGCAATCATTTTATCAGTGCTACCTGGGTAATTGGCTATTTGGTTTAAAGCATTAGATTTTCTATAAAACCCTTTTATGTCCTCCTTCCTGCAATATCTATATTTCCACATGACAAATATAACTGGGATTTTAGCAATACACATTTTGAAAACAGATTTGAGAAATCATCTTAAAGAATTACCTGTATTTTAATTCCAATTAATAACTGTAAATATTTACTTTGAACCTTCTAGTACCGATAAGTCCCCAGATTGCTCTTCATTAACAATGCAAAAAGACAATAATATTTGGAAAAGAAAAATACCTAAGTGAAAAACAGAAATAGAAAAGAACGGCTGAATGGCTTCTAGAATGGAGAGAGTTAAAGCGGCAAGCAGAACTAAAGAGCTCCTGTGGCTCTGGTGGTTGGGTTGTGATGGCCAAATTTGTCTTTGTTCTCTATGTGTAGAAGAAAAAATGCAAACTGGATCCGTGTGAATATGAAACGGCTTTTGCCAATAGCATCTTGGACTCATCACTGAAAAAGAACAAGGCAAATAAACACAGGCAGTGAAAGGTGACAAAAGCTTTGAAAAATCCTTACCTTGGTCTCATGGAGAACTTGAACCGGGTAATGGCCAACGGGAGTTCCACAGGCACTAATGCAAACGAGAGGCAGCAGATTGTCAGGTCGTTTGTCATTACCTATATGGCTAAGAGGAAAGTCCCCTGGCTACCATTTTTCTATTGTTCAACTAGAAACCGACCATAGACTTAAGGGAAACTACCTTTGGGGAAGTGAATATGACCTCGTTCACATCATTGAGAGACTCGGATCTAGTGGTCACTATTGAGGGAGCACATTTCCTTACCACTTAATTGGCTACACAAGGCCATGAGAACAAAAGTGCTTTGGTGTCCTTGAAGCCAACATGATGCTCTATGTTGGTTAGGTTGCTTTACCAAATGTTAAACCATTAAGTTGAAAAGAGACCAAGTGGGTGAATGCAAAGGTTTTGCTGTAAATTGAACCTAACGCCTTGAGCCTTAAGATATGCCAGGTAAGTGTTCTACCACTGAGCTCCAACTCCAACACCTTAGTTCTTAAAACAATGTCCTATGCTTACAGTCAGTGGTTACCTGCCCACTGGGCTGTGGCCTCTTCTACTGTATAAACCTATGTAGAGCATGTGTTTGCTCTCTTTTTCTGGCTGCGGGATTCGGTTTCTGATCTCCATTCAAGCAGAGGATTCTGATTTGTGAGTCCACCCCTAAATAAATAACCATCTATTTCTCAATTCTGAGCTAGTGTGGGATTTCTTTTAAGCGTCCTTCTTCAGTCCTATACATGCAGTCACATAAGCCTATAAGCCCAGTGACATAAAGTGAGACAGGAAGACCAAGACTTCAAGCTCAGGAAACATGATAAAATTTCCCCTCTCAAAACAAAAAAACAAAAACCCGTAAAATACTTTTTATGATTGGAATGGATACAAGTATACTGGTTTAATGTGTGATAGCATTGATTATTACTTTTTAAAAATTTTATGTGCATGAGAGTTATGTCTGCATGTATGTTTATGTGAGAGTGTTGAGTCCCCAAGTGCTGCAGTTACAGATAGGTGTAAGCCGCCATGTGGATGCTGGGAATTGAACCCAGCTCCTCTGGAAGAGCAGCTATCACTCCAGCCCCACCATTGATTCTAATCTCCAAATAAAGAGATGTTTCTGATCCATTTGAGCAAGAAAAGATCATCTTAATTTCAGTCATTTGCCTCCGTTATTTAAATATTTGCCACCTATGAATACATGTTTCTATTTGTTGTTTGTCTGTGTGTTTGTTTTTCCGAAATGGACCCTCATATAGACCAGGCAGGCCTGAAAATCTATGCAGAGGATGACCTTCAGCTATTGATCCCCCTTGCTCATGTTTCAAGTGCTTGGATTGCAGGCATTCACCACCACCTCTGTGTGAACCTGTTGTAAGAAGGCTACTTGTTCGTTCCTGGCTACCCAAACTCCCAAAATAACCATAAATAAACTGTATTAATTAAATCACTGCTTGTCCCATCAGCTCTATCTAGCTTCTTACTGAGTAACTCTTATATCTTAATTTAACCCATTTCGATTGATCTGTGTATTGCCACAAGGCTATGGCTTACAGGGTAAAGTTCTGGTGTCTATCTCCAGCTGGACTACATGGCTTTTCTCAAACTCCTTCTCCCTTCTCCCAGTATTCAGTTTAGTTTTCCCTGCCTAGTTCTCCTCTACCCTACCACAGGTCCAAAACAGCTTCTTTATTAGCCAATGGTATTCACAGCTTACAGAGGGAAATCCCACATCATGAACCTTTGATTTTTCTTCTTCCTTCCTTCCTTCCTTCCTTCCTTCCTTCCTTCCTTCCTTCCTTCCTTTTTTTCCTTGTTTTTGGGTGTGCTTAGGAATCAAATGAAGAGCCTTGCACATATGAGCCAAGCACTTATTTACAGTCTCAACATTCTGAACAAATTTAGAGCACTGGTTCTGTTGAGAGTTTTTGCCAGACTAACTTCACTTACTTACAGTAGTCTCACTTTGTCCTTGTGAATTGAAAGTCTTAGTCCTTGTACTTAGAAACAGGCTTGACAATCCCAAAGAAACAGATGGGTAAAAGAGAAAAAAGAAAAAGAAAACAGGGCAAGCAAAGGCATTTCTCATGTATTTCTTGGTTTAGTGCTTTAATTTAAAAGTTAGATAAAATGAGCTCTTTCCTCCCTAGGGTTTTTGGTCATGATGCTTATTACAGCAATATAAAGCAAACCAGACCAAAGTTGGGTACTGAGAGTAGGCTAAGTTGGTGAAAAGGCTGACCCTATTGTTTGGGGGAAGGATGGTAGAAGCGGTTGGAACTTTGGGCTGAAAAAGCAAAGCTGCTTGAGGATGCTAACCAACCTAACCTTTTTGTCCCACACATTCCACTCATCATTGAAACATTAGATCTACCCTCCCAACAGCACTGCAGGCAGTGTGATGGGCTATTGTCACTGAGGTATTAGATCTACCCTCCAAACAGCACTGCAGGACAGTGTGATGGGCTATTGTCATTGAGGTATGAGATCTGTCCACCAAACAGCACTGCAGGCCGTGTTGATGGGTCATTGTCATTGAGGTATTAGATCTGTCCACCAAACATCACTGCAGGATGGTGTGATGGGCCATTGTCATTGAGGTATGAGATCTGTCCACCAAACAGCACTGCAGGACAGTGTGATGAGCTATTGTCATGTCTTGAAATGTGCTACAATTCCTTAAGGAGTGTTGAGAAAGGAACCTTGCATGGAACACTCAGTGAATGAAAAATGAACAAGATGGCAGCATCTTCCAGTAGTATCAGACTAAATGGAGGATAAAATTGTGATACAAAAAAAAATAGGGGAAAGACTCCTCATTTATACTAATACTATTCAAAATTCTGTGCATCCCATTTGGGAATCCACATAAAGAAGATGCATTCCAGTGTTTAGAGTTATTGAGCATAAAATGTTATCAACAAATAAGCAAGCAAGCCGTGGAAAGATGCAAAGAAGTGGAAATGTTTATTAATCTCTTTGAAGGGCTGCTGCAATTCAATCATATGGATGTTTCCCAGCTGGCAAGGAAACAGGATTGCTCAAAGGTTTCAGATTGAAAAGCCTCACACAGCTCTCTAGGCAAGAAGTTTGGCGGTGGTGCTGAAAAACCACAAAGACCAATTCCCAAATATTTATCATATGATTTGTATTCTGCAGCCATTCCCAGTCTCAACGATAACAGTGGAAAGGATGACGTCAGAGTGCGGGAATAGAATGCTTGAGCAAGGGCTTCCATCCTGAATACACCACCAAAGGCCACGGCAACAGATCTGCTGGCAGCCTCTTCTTATAAAGCTCATTAAAACAGACAGTTTACCTTTGGGCAAAAATACAACCAGAAAACCTTGGTTTTAAAGGATCACCATAATCTCACTGATTTAAAAATAAAAAGTGGCATTTTCTGTTTAAACCTCCAGTGTGAACTATCTCTCTCATATTTCTTTAATTACAGAGAACTGAGTGGTCCTGCAGCAAAGAATAATACCAGAGCTACTAGCAAGGGAAGAGAAGGAAGGGGTGTGTGTCCTAACTCTAGGGACCCATACACCCTCCTTGTTTTAATATTTATAGTAATAGCAATACCCTGTGGAAAAGGGATTTGAAAGATTAAACTAAGGATGTTTTTTTTAAAAAAAGAATATGTAATTTTCATATGATCACAATTTTTAACTTGAAAAAGTATAACATATTTCAGGTTAATAAGTATGACTTCTGTCATATTTTTATGTGAATTCATTCCTAGTTTATCTTAAAATAGAGTTTATAGCTTGAAATGGATCTCTATACTAATATTAAATGGCCCATGTGTTCCTGCTCTGTTTAAAATGATTATAATTTAATATTTAATTTAAAATTATCACAAAAAAAGCACAAAACAAAGGACCTACCCCGCAGCATGGTTTAGTACTTGGATGACATTAACTGTTCCCTCTATTTTCCATGACTACATAGTCCCATTGCTAAAGTCCCATGTAAAGAAGTCAAATAAAATTAAGAAATTAGACTAATTTATGTTATCACCGCAAATTGATTCGGTTTCTTCCAACATTTATTGCAGTTCTTTGTAAATAATAAGAAAGGACTCAATTTATATTTTTAGAATAAATAAACATCACTTATTTACAAAAAGTCTTGGATTCAAGGTATAAGATTTGTATTTACTAAAAGTATAACTGTTTGCCAATTTCAAGGTTTAGCAATACTTAATAATTATTATCAGCTTCATCTTTATCATGTTTTAAGACAATATTTTTCAAGTATCCAATTTTGCAATATTATTATAAGGCAAAAATCAAACAGCAGCAATAACAAAAACCTAAATGATTCCTAATCCTGTGTTTATTTTTTTCATTTCATTATCTGTTCCTATAGAAATTATTTTTGAACTTAGAGGTTTGTGAATACGATTACTGACATGAGGGTAGGCAGAAACAAAACTAGTAATTTAGATGCAAAATTTCCAGGTGTTTACGATGGGAACCACATGCATGCTGACTTCAGCAAATTCACACATCTATACTTAGGATACCAAGCACTGGGAAACGGGCTGCTCTCCAAGAATGTTTACAGTAGACTCATAGTGTGAAATTTTCTAATGCTCTCTGCCTTAGTAATATTTTTTTTTATTTTTCCAAGCTTCAAAATAGGACTACTTAAATCGTATGTGCATGTGTGTGTGTGCATATGTGTGTGTGTGAAACTACTGCATTAGCCTGTATGACAAAATATAGCAATGAGTTATGTGAATATTTAAAATTGCAAATGTTAGGGGTTTTTTTAAAGAAAGAAAACCTTGTCTAGAACTGTTTTCTATTTTAATAGTAAAAATCTAATAAGCGACAAAGGGGAAAACCATAACGAGGAATCAGGGGAATAGTTTTTCAAAGCATATTCTTTGAATTCTCACTCAAGAGAGTTGAGCCCATTAAAAATGAAGCTAAGATTAATATTTTATAATACATAAGATAAAATATATGTATTTTCTGAGACAGAAGCTTTTCAAGTACACCAATTTGGAAATCATTATTTTTACTTGCTTACTTAAAAATTCTTTTGAATTGCTGTTCAGCTCATGTGACAAGCCCCAAAGCAAATCCAGCTCCTGATTATCGTATCTGGCATGTGGCTTTAGTTTTCCATTGTACTATACAACCATGCAAAAAAGTAGAGACCATTTTTAAACCTAGAAATCATTCTTTCCTACATTACTCTCAGTACAAGAATAAGCTACCTGACTTGAGCAAGTGTGATTGGCTAATGAGTGTATCTGAAGGACAAAAGAGACTAGATGAGGAATTCAAGTGGAGACCAGAGACTGTGAAGAGAGCTCTGGGGAGAGAGACCCTTTGTGAACACACCCAAGGTGTGATGCCAGGGCTGGATCAAATGGCCATGTGCATATATTTTTATCTCCAAGACACTGGAAAGCAATGAAAGGATTCAGTTAGGTCTGATGGAGTCACAGTAAGGTTGGGAATTATCAGATGTGCCCCTTAAAGAAACAACTCAAGCCACTATTTAAGAAGATACTCTAGTGGACTGGTCTAGGAAGTCAGGTGATGGTTGGGGAAGAAAGAGATGTAGAGAAATGGAGACATTTCAAGATAATTAGGAGGTAAGAAAGATAGGACACTTCTTTGTAGAAGTGTAGAAGACAAAAGATTTAACAGTCTCCAAGGTCCCTGGGTTTGCGTGGTGAAACCGTTTATTACCTTAGAGAATACAGAGGTAAGAGTCACATGCGGAAGGAGTGTCATAAATTCAATTAGGGATAGAGACATTTGTGGGCCTTTGGGAACATGGAAGATGGATAGCCAAGTGGATTATGGGAAGTATTATATTAGGCATATGGATTTGTAGAACTTATAGATGATCTACCTTTAAATAGTTATTGAAGCAGTTGAAAAGCATTACCCAGGGAGAAAAGACAGGATGAACAAACAAAAGGGAAATACCAGGTGGGATTCAGAGGATGGCCTAAAACCATGTTGCAAAGTAAGAGATAATCAGAATGGAACGTTTCATATTTGAAAACTGGGGTAGTGTTTACTCCAAAGACTGATCAGAAGTCAAGTTTGTGGTTGAAAAAATAGCCATTAAAGTAGCCACAGAGAGGATAATCTGTGACTTAGGGCAAGAGCTGCCAGCTAAAAATTGTTGGTACTGGAGCGGAGTGTCACAAGGCAGGGAGGGTCTCAGATATATGCCCAGCTAAGCCTTCATCAGAAATTTGCTGATATGGGAAGCAGAGCAGACCAGTAGTACTGGAACTCAGGAAGGTGGGGAGCTTCAGTGAGGCATCTGCCATTGAGGAATACTTCAGTATGTTTAAACCCTGGTAGGGAATGTCCAGTGGAAATGTATGTTGAAGTCGTTCTTAAAGAGACTGACAGCTAATAACAGTTCACATCCAATTGCATGGTTAAAATACTCCAGGACCTCTCCTCCACTCTTTATGTGTTCCAACCAAGAACACATAGAAGCCTATATATAATTATATAATTATCCTACTTTAAAGACAAGGAAATAAAATCCTGGAGAGTTAGAAGGGCTTCCTGATTGAATAATGTTCTTTGCAAGGCATGAAAGGATGTCTCATACAGGAATTTTCAGGTTTAGAAATTTCTCTTGGTGGGGGGCAGGGGAGAAAAACCTAACAAGATAGGGAAACGGGAGGGATGGCATGGTAGAGGTCAAAACATGTATGGGTTTGGAAGTAGGAGAAGGAAGGTTTTCTTGTACTTTCTATTTTGTTGGTCAATCAAGGTCTAAGGGCATCTGCACAGCATGAGGGAGCAGGAGTAGGCGGGTAGCTTTGAAGTTTGGGGAAGGTGTAAACAGACACTGAAATGAACAGGAAATAATGCTGACTACCCAACATAAAATGGCTGCTGCATATCACTGAGCCTCTCCGGCAGCCCAAGAGTGAGAACAGACAGTGCTATTAACTAGTGGGGCCATAGGATTCCTTCTGTGCAGCTTTGGGCCACTGCAGAAGTGGCTATATCAAGTCTATTTGAGAGGTTTCTCCAAGTTGGTGATGACTACACATTAGAGACACGAAAGACCAACCAAAGAGATAAGGAGATTGGGATCGGGTATATCCATTGAACTTGTTCTTACTTTCACCTTCTTCTAAATAGGGTATGATTATATCTAACCGGGCAAGCAAATAGTGATTAAACTGTATCCAAAATTTGACATTAAAAGATGGAGTTCAGTGGGAGTTTAGATGGTTAATCTTTCAATGAAAGTAAAACAGCTTTAAAAGCATCACCTTAAAAATATCAAGCCTATTAATTACATACAAATAGACCCATGAGAATAGGCAAAATATGGACTATCTTAAGATCATTTGGCATTATTGTTTTAGAAGGATTTAGCTCATTAATTAGCTAAAATTGAATCATATAGTTTATTCTCCCCAGGGTTTTTATTATTTGGGAAAGGGGAAAGAAAGGAAGAAAAATAAGCCCTCAGTTGAGTCCCCAACCTGTATAAGTTTTCTGTGGGTGTTAGAGAATTAAATATTTGAAAAAATTTTATGAAGTAGACCATATATGCATTTTACAAGTAAAGATGCAAAGATTTAGGAATGTTAACTTTTCTGGTATAGCTCAGCAGAAATCAGGGGAAAAAAATGCCTAGTGAGAAAAAAACACTCTTTAATTCTCCCACACCCACTACATGGTGATTTCATTCACTGACATACAATTAAACAGCTTTCCATTTTTAAAGTTTCAGAAAAATTTCAAATAATGCTGAGCAAGTTTGAAGATGCTATCAAGATTTCATGGCAAACCTAGATAACAAAGGAAAAAAAATTCACCGATGGACCAATAGGTGGCAACATATCACGGCCCTCTTAAAAATTTTAAATACTATTAATTAGCAAAAACTGATGGAGAAGCTACCTATATACATGGTGCTCTTTGTAGTCAGTCAAGACGTTAAGACAGATCTCCAGGGGCACCCAGCGCTGCTGTCTGCATTAGTCTCTTTGGGAAAAGGGAGGAGGAGAGAAAGTAGAGAAGGAGACAAAATGAGGAGGAAGAACAAGCTAATGAAGTGGATGCTCAAGAATCCAGAATCATAGTAGAACCTGTTTATTCTTCAAAGCTCATCTCTAAATTGACACCTGCTTACCTCAGATCCCAGACTAAGTTAAATTCTGGCAAACCCCTTTGGCTTCTTTCTGAGACAATGCCAACACTCTGAAAGGTATGCCAGGGTTACGCCCACACTTCTGTTAGATCCTAAAGAACAGGAGACACTAGCTCAGAGTAGAAACATCAATACCCATGGATGGATGAGAGGATGGATGGATGATTGGGGTGTGGCCTGTCATCATCCTTTCTGTTTAACCCTTGTCAATCAGTCTTTGATTGGACAGGTTTATCAACCACTTTTCTGATATGAAATCCATTTCATTCTTTATGTGTAACAATCAATGTAGGGAAAGCGTTTTCCCCTTTGGCAAAAATGCAGATTTTTCAGATGATACCAAGCAAACAGGAAGCAGCAATGGTAGTTAGAATGGTCCGATCTGAAGGAGAGAGAAGGTATCTAAGAAGCTGTAAGCATATGCCAGGTTTAAATACCAGACTTGTCTAATCCTTTCTAACAGCATTCCGAGCTAATTACTATTATTAAGCCTATTTTATAGGTGTGAAAATGAAGCTGAGAGAACTTAATTTGTTCAGAGACATTAACTGGTGCATCCAAGTCTTCCTTTCCAACTAACCTGCACTCACACCATGCTGAGTCCTAGGGGTTCCTTAAACAATTCCGATGAGGTTCACAGGCGAACGATTGACTAGTGTCCAGGGCTTTGAGATTCAGGCCCTTGTATCTCTCATTTTCTACTCATCACGAACCTTCATACAAACCAGGGAACTCATTTCAGTCTCCTGCTATCTCTTGTATGAGCCCTCACAGGGAGGCCAGGCAGAAGCTGGATTTCTTAGCAGAAAACTAGACACAGCTGTTCTTCTTTCGGCCCCTAATTCAAGGTCATTTCTCCAGAATGAGTTTTACTAATTCTGTACTAGGCCTCCCATCTTAACATCACGTCTCCTACAGTTATCACCAGGGTCGGGGATAGCAAGGCACGGTGGAGCATCCAAGCTCCCCAGCAGCAGCCCCAGAGCTTGTCTGCCAGGATAAGGAGGCCTGAGAACCACATCCCACATCACAGCCCAATCAGAGGACAAGAGGAGGGGAGGAACCTGTTGGGAAAACAAAGAGCATTCCTGCCCATGCTAGCCATCAAAGCAGTCAGGTAAAATGGCATCAACAGATCCCCCCAAATGCCAGAGGTTACTTTAAATTTTATTCTCATTTTGATTCTGTTTCGATGTACAATAAATAAACCTGAAAAGACAGAAGAGAAAAAAAAAAAAAAGGAACGCTAACAGAAAAGCCAGGGGCTCATAGTTATCAGGCCGATGAAATAAACAATTTTAGTCTTTTATTTGCCAGGTTTTGGATGATGTCATCTCGGTACCTGTAAAACTGATATGAAAGTTATCTCCTTTCAAAGGCAATTTTTCTTTGACTAAACAGCATCCTAGAATTGGCTAAAAGAGACACAAGGAGAGATGAGACAAACATAGGGCAGATTCCCAACCTCTAGGTTTATTTTTTTTTTTTTTACAAATGTTTCTGCCCCGGCTTGGAGAGGAGACAGGTTACACAGCAAAGCGGTCTGTTTACTCACTAGGTCACATGATGCCAGGACTGAAGAAAAATGGTTGATAACAAAGGGCATAGCCGGTTTCGGGAGTGAAGCAGCAATCAAACTGCCCCCAGCTCCAACACTGCAGAGGTGTGCTTGGCTCTGTGTTCCTTCCCGAACCCCAAGCTCCCACCTCCTTCCTTGTCCCTCGGCCCTGCAAACAGCTCCCTAACTCCGGAGGCTCCTGCCCCAGCTGTCGGAGCAGTTGGCCGCTAGGGGAGCTCTCTTCGGTTTTGCAACAACGCTGTCTTTTGAGTAGAAATTTCAAAATCAACCCCCCCCCCCCGGATCTTTTAGCATAAAAAAAAAAAAACAGAATTATTTTTAAAAGGGTGTTTACTAGAAAGTTGATGTTGGTAAAAACACAAAGTCATAGACCTAAATTATATTATGGAAAACAATCCTTCCTGAGACTCAGATGTGGCTATAGATCGGCTCTCTGAGGCAACATTAGAAATATCTGTTCTAAGCCTAGACTGATGTGGATGCTGAACCAGCCCTCAGGGCGCCTAGATGAGGGACCTGACAGAACTGTCTTGGCCTTGTCCCCTTACCTCCTTTCTAGGAAGCTTGCTGCTGGACCATGGGACTCCTCACTGTCTTTCTCATACCTCCAGGCTCTTAGGATCTGAAGATACTTCTCCCTCAGGCCCAGAATTCAACATCTGGCTTTAGGCCTTCCGGTGCCTACCTCACAGACGACTTCCTGTGACCTTTCAGTGAATCTTTGAGGTCCACGGTCTGTCTAGTCATCGGAGGACGCAGTTCCTTAGGGAAATGTCCAGACTCAGCCTCTCCCACCTGGATGCCCAGCTTTCCACACAGCCATTCTAGGTATCTGATTTTCAACCATTTAAATCCACTTTCCCAGTCAGTGTACATCTGCTTGACCCACCCTGTGTCCCCACGTTGTTTAATATAGTCACCGTTCCTATGTTTTAGCTAGTTTTTTTTTTTTTTACCCTGTTCTCACAAATGGACAAAAAGGACACAGATGCCGGATAGCATGGTTTAGGACATCAGCTTACATCCGATTCCCCATTAGACAGCCAGAAAAATACATCCTCCATGCCTCCGAGTCCCCAGGCCCAAATCTCTGCCAGTCCTCTTTACCTGGACTTCCATTTAATTTCTGTTCGTCACTTAAAAGCGTCTCTATCTAACTGAAAACTCATTTGTAGAGCCCAGCTAATTGGCACACTCCAAACCCAATGAATGTTCAAGCCACACTGCCTCAGGTTACCCACTCCCCTCTCTGCCTCAAGTACTCTCTGGGCCCCCTCCTCTCAGGGAGTGATCTTGCATAATCCTAGCCATTACAGGTTACAGCATCTAAATACCTTAACCATAGCTTAACAATAACACACATACAATAAGAGGAGGGTGGATCACTCACACAAGCTCTTACAGGAAAACGGGCAGCTCTCTCCCTGGTAAGAAAAATATGGGTCTCCACCCCACCACAAAAAAAAATCCCAGGATGCCCCAGAATGCAGTTTCTTTTCTTCATGACGTGTTGTAGAACACGTCAGCTGTTCCTTGTTGCTGTGCAGATCACCCAACATCGGGTCACTGAGAGACAGCAGCGCTTGCTCGCACAGCTGATAGGATTAGGAGCCGGTGCTTTGTCAGCCCTGATTGAGTCCCAGACAGCCCCAGCAGACGCAGGTGAGATGTGAGGGGAAGGGGATGAGTAGGACTGGGAGGCAGCGACACTGTTTGGTGCAAGTGTTGCTCGTGGGCAGGGCATCTGTATTGTCTTCCCCATGAAGTTTGCAGTCGCGGCGGAGGTGGGGGTCTCTGTCAATAAAATCCTGCCCTTTAACACTCGTCTGACTTCAGCAGTTGGCCGTTTCCAGGTCAAAGGATTTTTATTCTGTGAGACTTGTGTCAGGTTATATTATGTGAGGGGGCTCTGAAAATGTAAAGTTCTCTGCACATTAAAAAATATAGACCTTTTTAATCACAAATCTCACATAAAGAACCCCTACATCTGGGAAGTAAGTATAGAGACTTTGCTTTCCTCTTACCTGATCTCCTAGATCTCTTGCCAGGTCTGGGCAGGCATATTATTTAAAACCTCTAAGGGACCAAGCCTCTAGAAACTATCAAGCAATTGATATTTTCTAAATAGCCAAGACATGTTTTTTTCCCCCTTCGGGGAATTGTCACAATATTACAAAACAAGACAATAAGTACTTAAGTATAAAATGAAATTGCCGCATAATAATAGGCAGATGAAAGATGAATATCTCAAACGATATTAGATTATATCTCTTTGATGCTATAATCCAAATGTTAAATTTCTCCTAATGACATGAGAAACACTTAAATGGAAATTAAAGGCAACGTAGATGTGATTATTTGTAAAACTTGCCTTTTAGAACAGCAGGGGAAACGGGCTTGGTTTCCAAAAGTACAGAGCTAAGAGGTATCTGAGCAGTAAACCATCAGCCGTTCCCTCGGTAAGGTTGCTATGGTGACAGCAAGGCTACCGCACAGCCTCTCGGTGCCTGCACTTCTGCAGTCAAGGCTTTCACTGAACACATGTTGGAATTTTTTTTTAGGCACACATCCCATCATTAAATACAAAGACACTTTGGAGGCAGCTTTATCTGAGTCATCTGCTAAACACAAGTTGTATCTGCGTTCTTCATCCTGCACCAGTGAGCCCTATGTGGGGTTGTGGAAGGAACTCATTCATTTAGGTATTCATTCACTTGGCAATTGTGCATTGATGCTACCGTGTGGCAGACACTGTGCCAGGCACTGCCTACAGTCCCTGAAGAAGACAGTGAGTGGGAAGTTCTGAAATAGGATCAGAGCAGCGCTCCTAGGGTAAGCACAGGTAGTCTGAAGGGACCGGGGAGGTTTCCTGGAAGAAGCTGTCTAAAATTAAACTTACTCTTTTTCAGAATGGAGGAGGAAGGGTGGATAGAGTGTAAGAACTGTAAACAGGGGGACCAGCAGTGTGCAAAAGTCTAGAGGGGAAAGGGCATGAAACCTCGAGAGAACTGAAAGACTGCGATTTGGACAACAACCATTTGTTATGGAGACAGCAGCAGGCCGAGGGGATGTGCCAGGGTCGAGAACACCTGTAGAGGAGAGGCAATTAGCACTTAGAGCTTGAAAGGCCTTGATGCCATCTTGGGGGCGGGGGTCTGAATACTACCTGTTGGAAAAGCAGGGAGGCATTAATGAGTTTAATGGGGAAGTGTGATTTGACTTAGCTTTGCATAAAAGAGGCCAAGGATTAACTCAGTGGTCAAAGATATTTCTTGGCAGAGTGCTTACTTAGCAAACGCAAGGCCCTCGGGTTAGTCTCCAGCATTACCTCAATAAATAAATGTATAAATAAAATATAAACACCCAAACAAACAGGAAAAAAAATCAAACCAAGTAAAATCAAGGAAGACTGTGAGTAATTTGTTTTCTATAAAGCTTTGTGAGTTAAGAAAATAACTAATTGGTTGGAGAAGAATCTGGGGTGAAACTGGAAGCCAAATGACTTCAGTGGCCACTGTTGAACTGACTCAATCAGGCTACAAATGAAGATGAGGAAGAGTGATGGACAAGTGTGGTCCTCTGCAAGTCCTGTTATCAGGAGAGGCAGAGGTGAGGTTTCCATCACTCTGAATAGTGCTGTTGGTCCACAGGAGAAGAAGAGCAAGGCAAAAGAGAGGTTCAGAGGATGTCAGAACTCCCTTTGAGATTTCGATTTGAACAACTCTGTAGACAGTTTCTGCTGTTAGGTCCCTACAACCAATTTTTTCAGTTCTTGGTAGGGGGTTCAGAAGCAACCCTTGATGTCCCTAGTTCATGCCTATCTCACCATTTGCAAATTCCGGCACGTAATTCTAGAAATAAATCGTATGGCTCCTCTTGGGCTGTACCTTGGTGAGGTCCATGGTTAAGACAGTTATGGGTAGAGAAAGAATGAATTAAGCACCTTTTCTCCACCTCAGAAAATCCTAAGATTATATCTCTGTTAAGTAGATCAAAAGGGGATAAGGATTTGTGGAATACAATCTCTTGGGGGTTTTAAGAAACCAACAAATTGATTTCCACTAATCCTCCGACTTCAGGGTCTCTGTGAACTCAGCGCACCCCTAGGTTTCAGAGTTGGTACTAAAAGGAATGCCAATAAGATGGCAATCCTTGCACACAGGACCCTGGGGTGTGGAGACCATCTACCACTCCCGTGGCTACCTCTGAGTAAAGGGTGTTTAAGTCATTTTACAAGTTTAAGTCTGTCACCACAGAAGACCCGAGCATAGCATAGCTAGCAACTCTTCTGTCGTCAGAGACGTTTTTGAGCTTCTTAAACATCTTGGCTGCACCACAGATGCTTTTTGCTGCCTGTCACATAAAAGACCCCTGCGGATATTGGATCACCTGGACCTGACCTAGGTGTCCCGGAAAAGGTCTGCTTTATCAATTGGACACAGCTCTCTTGTTTTCCTTCCCTATCCCTCCCAGCTACCCTTCAAGAGGTATTATTACTCCTCATATTAAGCCAGACAAACTTGAAGTAGGGTCTCAGCTGGTGTGCTGGCTTCCTCTTGGTTTCCCAAGCACGGTGTCCTGTCCTGTCTACAGCCTATACAGGTCCTTCTTCACGGTGTACTCAGGGAACGGTTGTAGAGCTGGGGATGGGATTGTGTGCTCGGTTAAAAAGCCTGTGTGTGGGCCCTGGGCTCCTGCCTCCTGGTGTCAGCCGTGTTTCACTGCTACCTTAGGCCCTTCTGACGCAAATCCCTCCAAGGAGAACCGCAGCCTTGGAAGGAAGTCCTACAAACCATATGCTGTGTCAATCCAGCAGCATTCGCTTGCCTGGGTTTCGGGACCCGCCCCACCTCCCTTGGGCGAAGTCCTGGTAGAGAATCATATGTTGACTTAAAACCTAGAGGTCACAGAGGGACAGCGAGTGGGGAGGGTGACTTTCCCTCTTTCTCCATCTTGGCCATCTGATATCGCAGCTTTTCTCGCCCTCCCCATCCAACTTACACCCCCTGCCAATCCCGGACCAGGTGCAAAAGAAGATGGGGACCCTTCTGGGCTGGCGATGCTGCGAATAAGCCTCAGTCTGCCCACAGTGGGTCGAGCTCGGCTTAGAAGGGAGGGGCGCTGAGAGAGGGACGTGGCGGGAGACCTGGTGGGTGCGGCGCTCAG